CCGGGCAATACTGGCGTTTTACTCAACGACTTTTCGTAAAATATCATAGCGGCGCATCTCCAAGTGAAAGCCGGGGCACAAACGATAATCCGTTAAGCCCTCGGTCTACAGTGCGGTGGAAGCGCTGCGGAAACCATATTTTCCGCAACCAATAACATGCTTCTTCTAGCTTGATAAAACAGAAAGTAGAAATATTCCACTCATTCTCTGCGCGTGGCTTCTATTTCCTGAGAATGTGAAAACATTGTTCGTCTCTTCGCAATTTATATAGGTTTACCGAGGAAACCCCCATATGGCCTTTGCTTACCATTTTTTTTTAAAGTCAGTTACAGAAAAGAACGACCCTTTCAGGTAAAGTAGATATAACAGCCAACAAGCAAGCTTTATATATCCGAGTCGGAACCTGGATCGCGTCAAACCGTCCGAGTCAAAACATTTACGAATGGATAATTTGACTCGATGGATGTTTTAAAGCGTTGGATGTTCTGACTCGGAATGCAGAAAAACAAGACACTCCTTTTTTGTTCAACCCGGAAATCGACTAAAAGCAATGTCCCAGTAACTGGAGACGTTACAGTAACAAGCATTCTCGTCCCTTGCCGTTTCAAAGATATTAGTAAAGCACGAATTCCAACCTTTTCATCGAGAAGAAAATTTTTAGTCGTTTTTGTCCTGCTTTTTGACGAATCTTTTCAAGACCAAGTGCTTTTAAAAAGTGGTAGTTTTTTTATGTTTTTATTTAAGCTTTCAAGGCTGTTTTATATGTTAATAACAACACACAGCCTGTAGGTACCATGTTGCCGACATCCGTGTCGCGTTTTTTTTTTTTTTTATAGGTAAGATTTCTTAAAACTCTTCGGTGTTTTCTTATTTATTTTTTTCTTACTGCTTTGGACGTTTTTAGTGAATGCGCTATTTTTACGCATGACTTTGAATATGCACCCTACCTCGACAGATCCTGCTGAATCTTTTTTTTTTCTCAAGTCATGTATATTTGTGCCACCATGCCAAAAAACTCACGGTGGTTCAGGGGCACAAAATTATTATTATAATTATTATTATTCCCATCGCCCTGAGCGGCTAGCCGTCCTAGTGAATTTGACGTTGACGAAGTCGAAAGCTGTATCGTTTGTTTTGTCCCGTTATACGTATCTTTCATTTTACAGGAGCACTGCCATCATATTTAAGCGTTTACCTTTTTTGCGGTTTTTACGTCTCTTGGGGTTCGGGCAAGCCAGCGGGCACGGAGAGAGTAACTAAACATCAGTGCGTCATATTTTAACCGGACGGCGCGGAAACCTCCTCCATCTACGGGGGCGACCCGCATTGCCGAAAGCGCGCGATGACGCCTTTGGTCCTGGGCGTACTACTGCATGGTCAGAGCCGCTAAAAGCTTCTTTATAGTCGAAATACAAAATATAAGTGGCGCGAACAGTTTCACTAATTTATGAAAGTTTTTGTTCAGTATCTCAGGTCAGAAAAGAAACAAATGCAGTATATAAAGTCCGGAAACCAGAAATGACGCGTCGACATACCCGCCGCCAAGCGCCGCATACTACACTCTAAAAAAAAGGGAGCGTGACTTAGTCCCTCCGGGGAGTAAATGCGCTGCCACTACCATTAGTCCCCTAGGGGACTAACGGGGACAGGAGTAACTGTTGCACCCCACCCGTTAGTCTCCCTCGAGGACTAAGTGTTGAACCCCTTCACATGCACCCCAAGGACTAACAGTTGCACCCCTACACTTAGACCCCTAGGACTAAATGTTCATCCCCTGCATTTAGTCCCAAAAGACTAAATGTTTATCCTTAGCATTTAGTCCCAAGGGAGGAAATGTTTATCCCTACAATTTAGTCCCAAGGGAGGAAATGTTTATCCCTAGCATTTAGTCCCAAGGGAGGAAATGTTTATCCCTAGCATTTAGTCCCAAGGGAGGAAATGTTTATCCCTAGCATTTAGTCTCGCAGGAGTAAATATTATCCTTTGTATTTAGTCCCATAGGAGCAAATTTGATCCCTTGTATATAGTTCTGTATTTCGTCCCCTATACTCCATTCACTGCTAAGCTGACGGAATTATGCTATACCGTGCTCACTAGACCAGTCAACAATCAGTTTCCCGCAGAGAGCAGTCGGGCAATTGACTCATCCAGCAAGCATGTCACTTGCATGGACTTGTCACTTTAGCTGTGAATGGAGTATAAGGAAAAAATACCGAATCCTAAAAGGAAAAGATGGAGGTCAAGTCATACACTTTTATTATTCATGAAAGTTGAACCATCTCTGCTATATCCAATGCATATGATATTCCAAATGGGAACATTCATTTAAAGCCCACAAGAAAATGTTTGGCAAAAGCGCTAAAAAGGGCATTGAGCTCAAAAGCTAAAACCAAGACAACATTTTTGTATTTGAAATGCATACATTGACAAAATAACCAACAATCTTAAATACTTTAAAGCATTTCATAAACCACATACAAGTGGAAAATATAACTTTACATGAGAAACTATCACTTATCACTAAGATGCTTGAGAAGAGGACAAGTATATCACAGGGTGCGACGAAGCACAGCATTGCATGATTCAGTTCCTTTAACCTCTGCACAAGACGTAACAAAGCCCTCTTGAGAACATTTTGACACCTATATGAAAAACGCCAGTAAACAAAACAAAAATAAGGCATGAATGACTTATCCTATGGGTAACAGTGGTCCCTTGATGACCTCTACACAAAAAAATATTGCACATACGGTGAACATAACACAGAAATAACAAACCTATTAATTATTCTGTTGGTTCAGGCTGTCCTTTTGACCTCTATGCAAATAACACTGCAACACAGTGAGCAAAACCACACAAAACAAAATAACTCATTCTATTGGTCCAGGCTGTTTCTTTGGCCTCTACATTTGAAACATTGCACATACATTGAGCAAAACACACCAAAAAATGCATCCTATTGCATTAGTTTAGGCCATTCTCTCAAACACTACATGGAAAACAGGCACATATAAAGAGTGGAAAAAAAGTAGTACACAATTCATCCTTAGAATAACTCTATTTGCAGCATGTGGTACATTAAACATGTGGTGGACCAAACATCTGCAGAGCTAAAACTACAGGCACTTTTCAACATATTGACACTTAGATATACTACTGGCCATAAAAGCTTACGGCCAGTGGGAAGGTACTAAAAAATGTATTTACTGCGCTGCCTTAAGTCTTGACTTGCTTCTTGAGTGTCACTCAAAAAAGAAGTCCAGACATTAAGCCAGTGCAGTAAATAAAATGCTTAAGTCAGTAATGATTGTGATTTTTATAGTCCACAGACCATGAGCCTATCGCCACAGCTTCAGAGCATGTATCAGGATGAACTGCTTGGCTAGCTGGTAATGCATTATAGAGAACAAAAGTGCAAAAGACACGGGCAAGTAGAAAAACAAAGTCAGTCAAATTGGACGTTTAGCATCAGGTCGGTCTGCCAGGATGGGGCAACACAGGCTTACACTGTAGATGAGCAATTTTGCCAGTGCAGTACGACTGCTAGCCTGGGGTCTTTAACATGCTCACGCAGTAGTGATACACGACTGCACGCTGGTGCGGTGCACATCCAGATCGAAACGGCCAGGGGTGGGGCTCGAACCCAAGACCCCTGGTTTCTGCAGCGCGAGCTATCGCTCCACGCACGTTGAGCTGGGCCCACTTGGCCCTTTCCCCTAGAACAGAACACGGCAAAGCACTACTATCAACTGGCATTTTTTTAATTTGAAAAAGGAAAACAAGCCTAGAGCTTTTTTTTTGTGAAAGAGGAAGGTTGCTGTCAAAGCAAAGAAAAAAATGCATGTTCTTTCAATTAAAAGTTAAAGAAAAACAGGACTAGGGAAATGAGACTAGAAAAAAAATATAACAAAAAATAACTAGGAACAAAAATTAGAGAAAAAGAAAGAAGTTTAAAGGAGAAATAAAAAAATGAAAAAATTCTAGCATTGTAAGAAAAATTGAGGTATTGGAGTCCTCTGTCAGATGAGGCTACTGACGGTGTGCTAATGGAAGTACCCTCTGGCTCTAACGATTCAAGCCTCATAGATCATCTTGACTCTCGGGTTGTGTTCTTGCTTGAGGATTCTGGTTTTAGGAAACCGAGGGTTGCATTTGCAGTCTCAGATATGTAGGGCATGTTCACGTAGTCTGATGTTAACACACCGGCCAGATTGGCCCACATGCACTTTCCCACAGGAGAGTGGTATCTCATAGACTACCCTATACGGCAGGTGACATACTTGTGCATGTGCTGAACCTTGCATTGGTCTTGTAGATGTTTCTCAGAATTGATCTTGGGACACAGCCTCTTGAGTTTGTGTCCCAAGATCAATTCTGAGAAACATCTACAAGACCAACGCGAGGTTCAGCACATGCACAAGTATGTCACCTGCCGTATAGGGGTAGTCTATGAGATACTGCTCTCCTGTGAGAAAGTGCATGTGGGCCAATCTGGCAGTGTGTTCATATCAGTCTATGTGAACACGCTTTACATATCCGAGAGTGCAAATGCACCCCTTGGTTTCCTAGAACCAGAATCCTCAAGCAACAACACAACCCGAGAGCCAGGGAGATCTAAGAGGCTCAAATCATCAGAGCCAGAGGGGGGCCGCCTGCATTAGCGCACAGTCACTAGCCTTAATAATATTAATTTGTTTATTTAATGTGCCCGAAAACAACCACGTGGGTCTTCACATTGGCGCACACAAGACAAAAAGAAGAAACAGAGCACACGCACAGCCTTAACTCCCTTTTCTATCACAAAAAAAAAATGTTCAGTTTTTTTTTTCTATTTTAAAAAATGCCAGTTGATAGTAGCGGTTTGTCCTGTCCTGGTTCTCCTACCTGTCTTTTGCACTCTTTTCCTCTATAACTTCAGAGCATGCGCTACCCTAGCCATCAATTATTCCTTTCGCCACCAGCACAAGTGGGCTAGCTGCAAGGGCACAATCTACACCAACCATATGGGACAGCAGCTGGAGCGTCTTCGACGATTTTGGTAAAAACTCCATATTAAATACCCAGTACATGGCCATCATTGTACTGATGGCACCCAACAGTGTCGCTTCCTCAATCCGCAGTTCATCGACGGAAACGATGAACGACGCCGCCTGGTAAAAATCTCCCTCATAATCCACCGTCGGGTACGGTGGAAGTTCTGCTGGGTCCTAAGGAAATGTAGGAATACAAAAAATATATTTCAAGAAATGATTGAGCAAAATTCTTCAATGCTAAATTTTCCTCAGTAGTAAAGAACCACGAGAATAAGCCACAAGCATAAGTTACAGCCAAGTTTCCGAAAACAAATGTGCAAGCTGTCTTACACTTTGTAATCTAGCTACTATACAGAAGCGCTCAGTATTGCACCAATGCAGTCAAGGTGTGGATCACACAGATCTGCTAGCACTCTATAACTCATTTTATGAATGCCATGGAAGGTCAGTTACCAGATGTCAACGATATATTTTTAGCACACCAGATTACATCATTGCAAGCCATAAAGTAGGGTTCTGCATTTCCTTAGTTTATTTTCTGCAAAATTGGAAGATGTTTTTTCTGAGTTTCTTTTTAACACACATTTGAGTTTCAAAGTTTTTTGTGAACGCAAATGAAAAATATAAGACAATAGTTCGGAATTTAGCAAAGTAGCCTATTCAAAGACAAGGCTTATACGGCTATTGTCGTACGAATGCTAGTTATGCCTCATTACCCCGTTAATATGGACACCCCGCTGCATGGACGAAATTTTCGGCGACCGGTCTCTCACCACGCAATTCTGCCTTATTATTACAGAAACCTGCAGTCCAGACTATGGATGGCTGTTTTGGGGACGAAATGGGAAAATACAGGCATTTTTGTCTTGTCATTATGGACACGGGTCCACCAAGCAAAAAAAATAAAAAAGAGAGAAGACTAGTGACCTGCAGAGGTCGCAGTGTGTACCGAGAATTCACCATTGTCTGCCGTTCCTTGCCCGTCTCGTTACTTTTACAGGAAAGAAAGAAAAAATAAGTTAGGGAACCGCCAAAGTCTCATCATGTATACACGGAGATCACTAATTTCCGTTGTTTGTTGCCCATACTTTTACTTTGAACGCGGGTTTACAAACCCAACAGAAAAGAAAGGTTAGTGAATCACAGAGTGTACCCTGAATTCACTATTGTCCGTCGCCCGTCTTGAGATAAAACCTGGGCCGGTTTGCTCATCTTGCGGCTGCGGCTGCGGCCGCGGCCAAGAGGGATTTTTAGGTCACGTGACCAACTCTATGGGGACAAGGAAGTACCTAGCCGCCCTGCCTAAAGGCGGAGAGATCTGCATCGCTTCAAGTACGAAAGCCTAATGTCGGCCACAAAAACTGATTGCAGGGACTTGCAACTGGAGTCCAATTGACCGCCCCTTTATACTGTGGGAGCGGCAGGTAAAGTTACGGCCAGGGAGGGTAAATAAGAGCCAAAATAAAGAAAAAACCACACGAAGTAAAAGCGGCAGCAGGAAATTTATATACCTCTGCCGGCGCCAGCGCCTCACGCCTTCTGCTGTGGTCGAGAGGTTAAATCGCCGGTACTTGTCGTCGCGGCGTGAAAGTTCCGGGTTCAAATCGCGCTGGGGTCTTCTTTTTTTCTTTTTTTGTATTTTGCGCGTGTCTTACTTTTAAACTGTGATCTTTTTTAGGAAATCATCCACTTGCAATACTGCGGCTTACACGGTTTGTACTGTTAGTCCCACCTGTCCATTCGAAACACAGGGAAGAAAAAAAAGATCAACGCAAGTTAACGCGCTAATACAATCATTTCATAATGTTCATTAAAAGGAAACCAAGGTAACAGCATCGGTACGGTTTTCACACAAACGGAGCCGAAACAAGTATCCTTTCCTCAGCAACTGCAATTTTATCTGTTTTTAAATAAGGCTCTTTCTTCGATTACTTTCTATAACAAGAGACGCCTATTTAGGACTAGTAAAAACTGCAGTTGTGACAATTAAAAAAAAACTCAAAAAAAAAAAAAAAGACTAGCAGCGGTGGATACATTGATTGAGCGAAATCCTACAGTCAAGGCAGCAAGTCAAACGTCTGAGAAAGTATTAAAACCGAAACAAAAGAGATCATACTTCTACTTGCATGTAATGTGATAAAAAGTATATTTAAACTCTTAAAATTTTGTTGTGGCAATCGTTTTGTAATATTAACACATTACTTGCTGAATTTTAATTAGCATAGCAGACGATCACGACCGAATGCAAAAATGAATCAGGCGTCGACATCGCAAACCCTCTCTCTAATGCAAACCCCTAAAATGACTTTGGATCAAGAAATGAAATTAATTATAATTAATTCCATATGTTGATCCTAAGTCTTTTTAGGTGTTTGCATTAGAGAGAGGGACCTAAAATGACTTTGAATCATAAATGAAATTAATTATTATTAATTCCATTTGTTCTTTAAAAGTCATTTTAGGTGTTTGCATTAGAGAGAGGGTTTGCGATGTCGACACCTGATTCATTTTTGCATTCGGTCGTGATCGTCTGCTATGCTAACTAAAATTCAACAAGTAATGGGTTAATACTTAGGGATGATTTCCTAAAAAAGATCACAGTTGAAAAGTAAGACACGCGCAAAATAAAAAAAAAAAAAAGTCCCTGGCGCGATTCGAACCCGGAACTTTCATGCCGCGACGACAAGTACCGGCGCTTTAACCTCTCGACCACAGCAGAAGGCGTGAGGCGCTGGCGCCGGCAGAGGTATATAAATTTACTGCTACCGCTTTTACCTCGTGTGGTTTTTTCTTTATTTTGGCTCTTATTTACCCTCCCTGGCCGTAACTTTACCTGCCGCTCCCACAGTATAAAGGGGCGGTCAAATGGACTCCAGTTGCGAGTCCCTGCAATCAGTTTTTGCGGGCGATATTAGGCTTTTGTGCTTGAAGCGATGCGGGTCTCTCCGCCATTAGGCAGGGACGCTAGGTACTTCGTTGTCCCCATAGAGCTGGTCACGTGACGCAAAAATCCCTCTTGACCGCGGCCGCAGCCGCAGCCGCAAGATGAGCAAACCGGCCCTGGGCACCTGAAGATGGTGGAGTCTTTTCCGGCTTTAAAATCGGAAGGTATGTTATCCACTTCGGCATAACATGAGTGATAAATCACATTCGTTGTGGATAAATGGCAATGCTGGAGGATGCGTCTCTGGTCAACTCGAAGGAGGAAAAGAGAATGATAAAGCACAAGGGGACGGAGCTACGTTTATCCGCTAAGCTTGCTACTTAATGTTCATTGTGACCTTGATTCGTTATTATGAACGATTTTTCTGGGGAACAAAGGTGCCCATATTAACGAGACATGACTGTACCTTGTTTTTCTGATAAGGGGCCAAAAACAATTCTTTGACGCTTATGATCGACACTTGGGACTAAAAAAAGAAGATAAATGTGAAACCTGTTCGAGTATCCAGAGACAATTTAAGACCGGTTGTGTTCATTATTGGCAGACCCCGAAATTCTAAATTTTTCAGATGAATCCAAATCAGCCAAATTTTTGCTGGCGAATGTATTTTTGATTTATCAGAAAATGCAGAACCCTACATATAAGCCGTGTCTTGGTAATGTGGACACCTCCATTCCCCAAAAAAATCTTTCATAATGCGAGTTGTCCATAATAATAATGAAGGTTAAAAACACAAACATTACGTGACAAGCATAGCAAACAAAACAGTTTAGTCACCCAAAACATAAGACGGAGGTTTGAACTAATACTTTGAGTCATACTTTTCTGCTACCTGGAAGGGGCAAATGACCTTTGGCTTGAAAGCCCTAAGAACCCTACAACTTTAGGTGCGCATGTCTTCTCAAGAGGTTCAACGGAGACAGTGGTGAATCGCCGGTACACTGTATGACCTATGCAGCCCACTAATCTCTCTTTATGTTGCGGACTCACATCCAAAATAATGAGGCGGGCAACGAACTGGGCAATAGCTAATTCTGGATACACATACAACGTTTGTGGTAGTCTTTATTTTTTGTGCATGTTTATGGACCGGAGTCCATAATGAGGCAAAAACGCAAATTTTCCGAAAATGTGTGTCTATAATCTGAACTGCAGGTTTCTATATTAAAGACCAGCTCCAAACAAATCCGGTGCATGCAACTGCCCTCTTGGGCTACACGTCTGCCGTTCTCGTGACTTCACACCACCGGAATGCACGGGAAATTTCGAATGTTTCATTTTTCATTCTCTGTCTTCTCAATAACTGCTCTGAATTTAAAAAAAAAGACCAAATAGCACGCTGAGATGGGCAAAGACAGCGTATTCAAAAAATATAGTTAGATTCAGTGGCTCAAAAAAACTGGCACGGTACCCCTCTAACGAGTCAGAATTGCATGCCCAGGGAGCGGTCTTTGAAAATTTTGTCCATATTGTGGGTGTATCCATATAATGAGACAAAACTGCAGCTAATTGATTTATTTGAACTGTCCAGAATTTTTAACAAAAGAAAACTTGTGTTAGACAGCTAATGTTACTATTTGCTTTCCATGCTTGGCAGACAATGGAAACAAGCTTGTCCGTAGAATGAGGCGGATAATTACAGGGATCTTTTAACTTTTATATGGCTCACATGCGCAGAAAAACCCAGGCTCTAAGCTCTCTACCAACACCCCAAAACGCATATCTGGCATCTTTCGGCTTCACTAAACGCGAGTTTGTTTCTAAACATGAGTTAGTTACTGTATGGTGATGAGATACATAATAATGAGGCATGATTGCATAGATAACCATTAAAACCGTTGCAATTATGTCACCAGCTGTCAAGAAAGGGGTTGGCCTTTATCTAGAACTTACATCTGGGTGGAGAAAGGTCAAACTTCTTTCCTTCACCAGGCATGGCAAAACGTACAATGCAGCCATGGTCAAGACATCTGCAATAACAAAAGTCATCATGACATTACAGCAAACTGCCTATTCTAAGCATAAAATGAATTAAGGACAAAGGCAATGAATGAAAGCCCTAAAAAATACCCCCAATTTCCCTCAAGAATGAACCCAAACTTATTTGTGCGCTATGCCCTACCATTTTCTGGACCAGCGTCCACTCCTGCAGCACGACCGTCGAGGTCGTCGAAGAACGCGGCAAGGTGCCTCTTCTTTCTGGCAGCCTCCAAGATGCGTAGGCTGCTGTTGGACAGCCCCTCCAGCAGCTTGTCTTCTATTGTGCAGCCTGTTGCTGCCGTGAACTCCTGTTGGAGCTGAATGAACAAAAAGACAAAAAAAATAATGTCAACATATATTTAACCATTCATTTTGCAACGCTCCAGATTCACACCCCAAGAATACTTACAAAGGTGCCGCACTTCAAAGCAGGATATTTTTCCACGATTTCCGCCACACTTGGGTTAAGACTTGTGACCCACAACCTCCGTGTGGGAAACGTCCTTGCCAAGGAGTCCGTTATATAGGCCACATTAGGGCTTGACTTTTGCATCTCCTTGTCCATGCCAAGGACATGGCCCTGGAGACTCTCCTCGTCCTCTCCATCGGCTGGCAGCACGATATTCTGCAGTACATTACAAGAAAGTAAAGAATTAACATCAAAACCCATAAATGTTAAAAATTATTCTTTGAACAATATTGTCATACGGTGCCAGGCCTTGTCACTCGTTTAGGCTTCGGGTCCTTTGGCACCCTCGCCTGCTTCTGCTGCTTCCGTGGTGGAGCCCCATTTTCGCCGTACCCTTCTTCCGTCTGGCGAAGCTTCACACGTTCACGCTTCGCCTTGAAGCGAAGTGCGAGGCGCCAGGAGTCCTAGGAGCACACACGAGAGATTGGAAGAAGCAATGATTACAAACTATATGAGCAAAACTAAATACAACTACGAGCTCCAAGTAAGCAGGACGTTTTCAGATAACAGCAAAATATGCCCGGTGCTCATTTTTAATTTTGAGTAGAAAAATATATATTGTTGCCCTTAATGATGCAAACAACAAAACCGTGAAAAAAAATATTTGTCCCCAAGAAAAAAATTTAGAAACACCTGTTCAGTCCGGAGTGCTTTCTGCGGATTACACAAGGTGGCCATTTCAGCCAGCTCTCAACAAAAATCTGGTGAGGCTGCGGGCCTAGAAATATTTATTGACACAATAATTACAGATAGGACTGTATCAAATTATTTATCATGGATTATGGCGATCAGTATTTTGAAATAAAAAATCGCTAATATGGTACATTGCGCAATGCTGCCTAAAGTTTTTTTTTTTTTCTTTGCATCTATACAAGCTGGGGGTTCCAAACCTTGCCAGCGTGTTGCCCTGTATTTGGTTAATCTTTGCGAGAAAAATTGCTGTCCTGGTCAGCGGGAAAATTAAAACTTCAAAATTTTAGCAGCTCCCATTCCTGCTGGCCGTTTTTAAGGAGCTGATAACAACGCAGCTGGCTCAGTGCAATGTCCATTTCAACTTGCGAGAGAGACGCAAGAGCTGAGAAACTCGACCGGCTCCGTACATAATCGAGTTCACAGTTGTCAGGAATTGCATCAGAAGCGATTTCTAGCAAAATAAAGGTACCATTTCATTGCTCTATTAGCTTCATGCTATAATCAAGGAAATACAGTGCTTCGTGTGCGCTGATCAAAACCGCGTGTGTGAATGCGTGCATATTTCTTTGTAGTTCAGAACAATGTATAAAATCTCAACTGCAATATTCAGCCCCCCCCCACCCTCCTCCTTTTTCTTTCCCGTTGTGTAAATCCTGGCTACTCCACTGGCCATCAGAGCGGCGAGATGTTCGAATACAGCCCCGGCAATACCTTTAAAGGGTAACTGCAAAGAAAAAAGATTTTTTTTTTAAACAGCCTAATTTGGACAAGCATGTCAAAAAACAAATTTTCTGCGAGAAAAGAAATTTTTTTGAAATATTTATTGTGTGAGACTGATTTTAGTTCGCGGCTATTTTGTCCGTCTTAAATCGCGTGCCACGAAGTTGGGTTTCCGTGACGTTAATCCCAATCGGCTGCTATACAGCTCATTGGCTAAGACTTTGATTGACAGCTTAGATCTTGTTTGTTAAACCTTTGTTATATGTTGCAATTTCCTTTTGAGCAGCATATTTTTACGTTTAAAGAATAACCCGTGTGATGAGTTATTATTCTTTGCAAAATGTTTACAAGACGGGCACTTCCGTTTGGATTCATACCTCAACAAATAAAAGCTTCGCCATTCTTTCATGGCCGCCAAAGTCTTTGCTCCCGCCTGACTCGCCTACCTCGACTAATCGTTTCGCCGAGGTGATCAGCGTTTCCTGCTGACCCAGGTGCTTGAGTGAGACTTCTTGAAGTGAAGTAGTGTGTATTTAACGGCTGTCGCAGGTGTTAGTAATAGGAAGCGACGTGGGGTTTTGGCTTTCATAGTGCGGTTCTCTCGTTTTTCTCTTGCTTGCTTAGCGTGCTTTCTTTTTTTTTGCGCTTGTGCGTGAAAATACTGACTTTTCAGTGATGTCCGATCCCCACAGCAAGCCAGCAGCCATGTCGCCCCGAAAGGAATGCTATTTGGCTGGAGGCAATCAGGCGTTCGCGTAGCGACAAACGTGTCCAGTTACGTTCTCGTCATACCGCTCCGGAGGCCATCAAGATTCGCACCGGGTGCATCGAATGTCCGCGACTAGACACAGCTGTTACGTAAAAAAACCTGGCACAGCCAGGTTATTACGTAATAGCTGTCCGCAAAAGCCTTCGGACGTCCGAATTCTGCGTTAGCCAACAGATTTTGTTTCTCAGCTTCTGAACCATCTTACGTGTTGAGGAATGGGCACCGCTATTCCATTCCAATTCCACTCCGGGGAATTAGAGGTTTCAATAATTTAATCCCTTTCAACTCCTAGGCATGGGGACACCGGGCCCATCCCTACTGAAAAAAACCATTTGAAATTCAAACGGGTGGCAAACTGGTCGCCCGTTTGAATCAAACCTGTCGATCCGTTTGGATCAAACGTGATTATGGGATACGGGTACCCGTTTGGAAACGGTACCCGTTCGAAACCGTACCCGGTTGATACAGGTGCCCGTTTGATACGGGTGCCGTATGGTACGAGTACCCGTTCGACATAGCACGTGACCACACGTTTGAACGTGCCCTTCGAAATGGCAAATTATGCGCTAGCCCTAAATGGGTATCGTCAGGGAGGTTGGTTATCTTAAACATATTTAACACGTCCCGAAACTCATAAACGTATTTATAACATGGAGAAAACACGTAGAACAAATGCACTCGCGTAGGTGCTTGTAAGTGGACAGGAAAACCGACACAAAAGATTGTTTTCAATTCTCCTCGAAGTTTATTACCTCTTCTGTAGACAAGTACAAACGTGCAAGCGATCTGTGAACACTATACAGGTAGACTTTCGGGGAAATTATTCTCCTGGCTGCCGCGCGAATAGGCGCTGCATAATTCTTTAGATAATTTAGAAGAGTACGCGTAGAAGAACGGTCAATCGTTGCCAACACGTAGGTTGCAGTGCACTTACCATAACAATAGCGGACTTGAAAGAGGTAATCCGTGATATTTTTCGACACGGTGAAAGCAGGACAACCACACAAACACAAACGAGAGGGAACGGCTCCTTGGAAGTTTCAACACGATGCGGCGCACAAGCTGTCATTTGCCGAACCCAACCAAACCGCGAGAATTTGCGACTTCTTTGAAGAATCGCTCGTTGCCAACATACACGTGGGTCTTTTCGAACACTGATAGCTTTGGTGCACATCCAATACGTTGTCGAGAGACATCCCAATAAGACCGCAGGGTTAGGCGACAGATTGAAGCAGGTAGGACGAGCGAACTTCGAGCAGCAACTGACAACAAGCAGACAAAGAAAAAAGCGGCTGCAAGGCGCGCCCTTCCGGATCTCGATGCTTATCAGCGTGTAGCTCGCGTCGCGCGCTGCTGTGGGTCACGTGACAGGGGTGACAAGAGAGGAGGGAGGGGGCGAGGTCAAGGCGCTGGGACCACCGGGACAGCCCCTCTCCCTCTCCCCAGGCATTCCAGGGAGATGCGTTTTTGTAGTCCCGAAGAACAAACGCGCGCGTGCGCGCGCGCTCGAACTTTGGAAATGGCGGCGGGGCTGCCAGAAGCTCGGCTTGCGCCCGAGCGTAGAAAGAACTCAGCGCAAGCTCGTAGTTTGAGTGCTGCAACGGCGGGCGTGCTCTCGCAATGCTCGATGTTCTTGCAGCCGCGTGTACGCGTGCTACCTTCGTTGCGTCTTGAATTAAAGTGAAACGGAGTCGAGACGTACATTCTTTCACGCGGTCGCGTCTTCTGCGAGAGAGATTCGAGCTGAATAAGTAAATTGAGGCAACAAAGATGGACAAAGTATTAAAGGTCTGTCAAAAATATCGGCTCACCAACGTCGCGCGTTTACGTAAAACAAAAAAAAAAAAGGTGTTAGTTTTAGTTGCAGTATAATCGAAAATCAGCGCAATTGAAATATAAATATATTTGCATTACATTGCATTACGCGGACGATCTGAAATCGATGAACCGGCGCTCCCAGCCTTCCGGAAAACATTGGCTGCCACGGCTGAAACGCTAGGCGTGCCCACGCCGCCGATCTGTACGTTCAATATCAAACGGGCTCCGGAGAGCCGTTTGATTAAACCGGTGCAGTTTGCAACATGGTCGCCGGTTTGAGCAAACGTGCGACCACTTTGCCCAAACGAGTCGCCCATTTGCCCAGGTGAGCGACCCGTTTTTATTTATTTATTTATTTCCAATACTACTAACCCCATTCGGGGTTGTTGTAGGGTGGTACAGTTTGAGATATTACAAGCAGAAAAATAATATTCAACACACAATTTGCAGGTAAATATTCAAAGCAAATATAGAAGTCGCGAATGAAAAATTAGTAAACAACTTCAATACAATAGATACACTGCACTTTTAAAAACAGCATAAAATGTTAGTTTATGATGAAAAGTGGGCATCTACGTAATCGAGGAAGATTTCAATAGAAGAGGAATGAACAACGTTTTGAGGCAGGTGGTTCCATTCGTTAATGGTTCGGGGAAAAAAAGAGAATTTAAAGCAGTTATTATGAGCGACGTCTTCCTCGTAAAGCTTGCCATGGTTGTACCGTGTTAATCGTTTGCTTGTATGGATAAGATAATTTTCTTTTGGTAGGTTGAAATGATCGTTGGCTAATTCGTATAGAATTTAAGTCTAGCTGTTTTTGCTCTTTTTTCTAAAGAGGAGAGACCCAGTTGTCTGCAAAGTTCAGAGGGAGAGACGTGCCTACTATACTTATTGCAAATAAACCTCGCGGCCATTCTCTGAACTCTTTCTATCTTATTGATGCCGGAGACTGTGTGGGGAAACCAGACGACGTTGGCGTACTCGAGCATAGGACGTATTAAAGTTTTGTAGGCTAGTAATTTAGTGGCAGGAGATGCAAATTTTAAGACTCGTTTAAGGAAACTCAGTTTGTTTAGAGCTTTATTAGTTGTGGAGTGAATGCGTGAGTCCCAACGTAAATTTTGACTTATATTGAGGCCGAGGTATTTGTATTCACCGACTTGTTCCAAGAGGTTATTGCCTATCTGGTAAGGAAAGGAGTATTGTTGTCTTTTATTGGTTATGGTCATAAATACAGTTTTATTCGAATTTATTTCCATCTGCCAGTCGTGGCACCAATTTATGATGTGTTGAAGCGCATTATTTAGGTTAATCTGGTCATTTGGGTTATTTATTTGTGAGTAAAGTATGCAATCATCAGCAAAGAGGCGAATTTTTACGTTCACATCTTTGACCAGGTCATTTATGTATATTAGGAACAAAAAAGGTGCCAGTACTGATCCCTGGGGGACTCCCGATGAAACTTTGCCTTTGAATGATGAGTGCGCATTAAGTGCTACGTACTGGTAGCGATCTGAAAGGTAGTCTTCAATCCACCTGAGAATTTTTCCTGCTCCTAGTATAGATTCTAGCTTAAACAATAGCTTTGGGTGAGATACCTTGTCGAAGGCTTTTGACAGATCGATGAATATGGCGTCAACCTGTCCTCTATTGTTTATGACAGTGGAAAAATCGTGAATGCTTTCAACAAGTTGCGTCACTGTTGAAAGGTGACGTCTGAAACCGTGCTGATATGGAGTAAGTATTTGATTATTCTCGATGTGGGTGGAGACATGGTTGAGAACAATGTGTTCGAGCAATTTACAGCAAGTTGAGGTAAGGGAGATGGGCCTGTAGTTCGCAAATTCGTTTTTGTTTCCAGACTTATGAATGGGGATGACTTTCGCTAACTTCCAGTCTTTAGGAAGTTGCCCTTTGTTAAGTGATTGTGTAAATATTATAACAAGATATTTCGTTACCCATTCGGCATATCTTTTTAGAAATTCATTTGGTATATCGTCCGGCCCAGCACTTTTTTTTGTGTTCAGGTTGAGTAGAAGAGATAAGATACCCTGTTCGGTAATTACAACATCATTTACAGCCAAGACTGGAGAATTGGACGCGAATGAGGGTGCATTACCATTATCTGTTGTAAAGACCGAAAGAAAATAATCATTGAAGGCTTTTGCAAGATTTGCTTTGTCACCGAAGAGCGTTTCTAGACTCGATTTGTTTTTTGGGTTGACATAGTTCCAGAATTTGACGGGTGAAGATTTAATAAACGATTGGAGAGTGATATTGAAAAAATTGTATTTAGCCGACTTGATTTTTTGTCCAAGATCGCTGTTGAGTAATGCCATTTTGTTCTTATTTAGAAGAGTTCTGGTTTTCTTTGCCTTCTTACGAAGCCTATTTATTTTGCGCTTTACATGGATGATTTCTCGCGTTATCCAAGGGTTTTTCTTAATTCGTTTAGTTCGTTGTGGAATAAAACATGAGACACACGTGTTAACTGCCGTTTTGAATTCGTTCCAAAGCATATCTACAGTGTTACGGTCGCTCTTGGACAGTAGAAGAAAGTTATCGAAGTGTGTATCAAAGAAGTCGAGCACGCCAACGTCATCTGCTCTGTCAAAGTTCAGAACCTTACAAGTCTGGGGATTGCCAGAAGTTGGGATGTTCGTTTTGAAGCAGCACAAAACCATCTCATGATCAGATATGCCATTTAAAACTTCTACGCTGTGTTCATCTTTCAGGAAATGATCGGTGACAAAGACGAGATCGAGCATTGATTGCGACGTTCCCTGAATACGGGTATTTTCAGTAACTATTTGGGTGAGGTTATAATGAAAACATAGATCTGTAAGGATATCTGCGCCGAGAGATGATTTTGTACATTTCGATAGAGAGGACCATTCTAAGGAAGGTAGATTGAAGTCACCTGCAATTATAATCTTACTGCTCACATTAATATTATCATTGATATAACTATACATACTTTTGAAAAACACTGAAGTGGAAGTGGGAGGTCTATAGAGAACAAGTATATAGCAGCACGTATTTTTATAAGCAATTTTACAACACAGGCACTCAATTTCTGGGCAATCGGGTAAGGGGGTACATACAATGCCATTTTTTACAAGAATCGCTACTCCACCACCGCGAGAACCTCTATCCTTGCGCAAAATCGTATAGTTTGGGGGCGTGATTTCACAGTCAAGAATGCTGTCTGATAGCCAAGTTTCTGTCATTGCTATAATATCAGGTTGGGTATTCAAAACAGCAGCTTCAAGTTTATCAGTTTTATTTACGATGCTTCGCGCGTTTAGGTTTAGTAATCGAAATTCATATACACGGTTGACTTGAGTAGGGCCAAATAGGTGACCGTAATGGCTCATACGGGGGACCCCTTTGAGCCATACGGGCGACCCCTTTGACAAACTGGTGACCAGTATGGTTAAACGGTTACCGGTATGAACCCGTTTATTTTCATATGGGCGCCAAATGGTTTTTTTCAGTAGGGATCCCCACTCCTGGAATGGCTGAATCGTTCCACTCCATTCCTCTAATTCCTAAACGTAAACATTGGCACTTGACAGCTACATTGTGTTGCCGGCATAAGTAGCATAAAGCTGACATTATGAAACGCAGACAATTGCAAAAAACGAAAAAAGCTAAATGCCTCAAAAAAGCACTCATTTTACTAAGCGGAGCGCTGGTGGCACAAAGTGTTTATTTACATTGTGCTGCAAACATTGAGAAAGCCCCTTGATATGTTAATGCTTGTTTAAGACATTGGTCTCGTGAACACGTGACACGCAGCAAGCAGCAAAACTTAAATCCACTCATTTCCTTTTTTTTTTTTTTTTTTGCAAACGTTTTCTGAATTTGGCTTTTAGGACATATGTGGCCAGCGTGTTTGTTTGGTAAGACCATAAAAATATACAGTTTGTGCGTGGTGCAAAAATAAGCTATATTACTGTATTCTTCAAACTGCACAGCAACACGGCTAGTACGCTGCTGGAAGTGACTACATGCACAGCGGCAAGAAAGCATCCTGACAAAGCACAACCTCTACAATGCAGCACCAGGGATTGTACAGACCATGTCATTAAACCTGTTATAAATGCACAAGTTCACGCTTCTTTTACAAATCTCGATATTTCTGATCATATTCAAATCAATTTTTAAGTGTTTTCCAGGCGATCAATAGAACGTCTGCTGATCTCAAATATACATTTGTTCATTGCAGTTTGTTCATTATATGGACGTAATGGGTTTATTACATGTCATTTCCTGATTATCTTGCTCATGATTCGGGCATGAGCCAACACTTTTTAGCGAGTGCGCGTCCGAAGTATTTACTTACAAGGACATTCAAGATGCACTCCGCGAGCCTTCAGTTACCGGTGTTTTGCGGTGACCGAGGTGTCTGGCTTTAACCCAAATGAGATTGTATGTACCGGGTGATGCCGTAAGGACCAATACATTTGGTAAGCCTTGCAAAATTCAAATTCCAATCGAACATAGCTCAAACTGAGCATGCGAACGCAGTTTCACAAAATGCTTTATTTCTTTTTTTTTTTTTAGAGAGCTCAAGTTGGAGGTGGTGAAATATTAAAAATAGTGCAAAAATGGGGGCCTTGCATTTTCTTTGTCCTATACTGGATGTTCGTTGTTTGCACACTGGTTCGCAAGCTTGGCAGTCATCGCCGACAAAGCTAGCTTCACATCAAGATACAATTAACAGGGTAATACCGCACCGTTCAAATTGACATTCTCCGTCTCTCCTCAAAACCACCGTCCAACTGACTTCTCACCGCCTTAAACAAGGTCCAGGACAGGGAGCACCAATGCAGACCTGACAGCTAAGACGCGCAGAAGCCAAAACCTTAGTAGCAGCTAGCACCCAGCTCTCGTTCTCAGTGGCCCTCACAGCAACTGTCATACCTCGTCTGGCACGGGACTGTCTTTCTGCAAGTCTAGTCAGTTCGATCACGTGACAAGAGCGGTGATGATAGTCTACTGCACCTTATGATGGACCACAACAGACAGAACGAGAGCCGTCGAAATCAATCCAGTGCCTTCCGAGTGTCGTGTGATCCTGGGGCAACGCGCCGTGCGTGTAGTCCTGCTCAGGATTGCCGAAACAATAACTGATCATCTTTTGGCGGCGCGTGAGCCAACGAGTTATGATAGTTCTGCGAGTTATAAGTCACCCCCGCTCCCAAATCTCAGTACAGATGCGCACGTGCACTCTCCATGCCGTTGTAAAAAAAAAAAAAAATACAAGGTTGATAAGGAGCCATGCATGGCTGTTTCTTTCTTTGCCGCTCCATTCGTTTCCTTTGCTTGGTGCTTGGTTTCTTGTTTCGCTCTCATGTAACACCAGTGGCCAGTGAAGCTCGTGGTCGCTTGCGCGTCTCTAAAAGTCCCCCCCCCCTCTCTGTTTTGACGCTTGTTTTTTGTGTTGCATTTTTTGCATATAAGTATGTTAGGACTCCACACGGGCTGGCAGTTTCCCGCTCATTTTATTTCTGAGCAATTGACTCGCTGACTGGCTCAGTTTAGCCAACCATAAATCCTAATCAAAAAAAAAAAAAAAGAAAGGGAGAATTGGGTTCATTCTATTTTCATTCGACTCCATTCTGGGCAAAAGGCATCTAATTCCATTCTCATTCCCCATTCCGGGATCACGAAAACGCGCAATCATTCCGGATTCATTCCAACTCCAGAGTGGAAACTCCGCAACACTGCTTTGCACACCATTTGTTTGAAGGGCTACAGATTTGTCTAACAGGGGACAAGCATTCAAATAAAACAGCAGCTAGTTACTCACATGTCCACTTCCTGTGGTGTCTGCAAGCGTGGGGAACATATCCACAAGGCACTTTGCAGCCTTCTCATACAGTTTATCTGGGTACCTGCCAAACAAAAAAGTAGATACATACAATCAAAACAAAACAAAAAATCTCAATGCAAAGTTGCACTAACTATTATTCACTATGAAGGATTTATATAACTGACAAACATTTTATTTGTGCTACCAGTACAAATATAACTTATGAGCATGGCAAGACCTGTCAGAACAGATGGCAAAGACACCAGAAGGTCTTCCAAACGTTGTCTGGAAACGAGTTCAAAATTTTCAATTACAATAACCCCCAAGACTGTGTCAAGCTAGAGACCTATCTGTGGCCATGTACTAGATGTAAAAAAATAAAAACAAATACCAGCAAATAGACGTTAGAGGTAAAAATATTATGTTTAAACACATACAACATAAACCGATTTTGAAAATAAACCAATATATGTTGTTCAATGCATCTGAGTATTGCTCGCCGATTTTAGGTATCACTCCCGCCAGATTTCTTCTACTGCAAAGCAACTGGATCTACAACAGCCCATTCACTATATGAACATATGGAGAGAGAGAGATAGGACAAAAAGGAAGACGGAGAAGTTAACCTCGAGTACTCAGTCCCGATTCAGTACTCTGTTCTGGGGGAGAGGGATATTTTTGACATTGACACTCTGCCTACTTGTCATGCCAAAAAAAGTATCCAGGGAGGGAAACTGGAAACCATTCTTTATGTCCACAGCAGTGACTTACAATAAAAGATTTATATACATCCTTGGATATCACCTAGCCAACAGCCATCGCTTTTGGGTAAAACCAGTTTTCCCAAGATTTGCAGCCCTAAATATTTGATGGCACAAGCGAAGCACACGCAGCTGCAGCATGCGTACGTGCAGCGACTTCCCGCTCAAATCAATCCACCGGGGACACCATAGATCATTCAACATTGAACATCGAGCATTGAACAGAAAACCCTATGTGAAGGAACTTCTCCAAAGAATGGTACCTTGATTTTAAATTTTACGAAATTTCTCCAAACTTTGTGGATCTTTCAAATCTCTCCCGTATTCAGGAGAACGCAAAGATATTTCCTATTGAATATATCACTCATTTTAAACTAAGTAGTTAAATCCAGATTCACTCGTTGATCGGGTCATTTTTCGCATCAACTAAGTCGAACCTGACGGACTAACAAAGGAAGATCCCACATGACCTCAAAAGGTTAAAGATTGGCAACTGGCTTCAGCAACGTGCTTAGCAGTTGAAGCCACCTATCGTGAGCCTTCTAGGAGTTGTCAGACTTTGACCCATCACTCAAAGTGGACTTACTTTTTCACTGCCATGAATGTGTACTCACGCCCACACAGCTTCATTAAAAGTAGGGATACAAAGAAAAACCTCCTGTCCCTCCACACCTCAAAAGAATAAGCAAGAGTATTGAAAGCATATTAATTTCGGTTTTTTTAACAGCTGTCTGAAACTGTAAATGTAACAAGCAAACCAAAACATGCATATTGGCTGATTTGAGTTGTTGTAAAATAGGAGTAAATTTAGACCAACTTTTACTTACATATCATACAGACACAGGTCATGGTAGAGCCACTGGATCAGTCTGCTTCTGCAACCCACATAGTGACCTTTAGTATGCTTTTGCATTGCCTGCGTGATGTCAAGGGGCACGGGAGGAAGCTTATACTCCGACGATTTTTTTGACGGAGCTCTGGACGTTCCAGGATCATCTTGCATGATGACGTCCATGATCCTAGATACATGAAATGAAGTGGCATGATAGCTTCGATCAAAATAGTTAACCATTTACAATATAAGGATGCCCTCGATTTAAATATTTCTTAAAGGAGTATAGACGCTGTGGGTCGTATCTTGTTTACTAAGAAATATGCACACTGCATCACTTTTCATGACATTTAACTTAGAACTTCCCAAGACACAGTAAATAATTTGTAATTGCATTGGTTGTACCTAATGGTCTCAATTTCTATAGACAATTGCAAGCATGGCGCCACAAGTGGTGCTCCATGCGTGCAAGCGCGAGCAACGCGCGGGAGAATGTAGCTTTGGCAAGCTCGTAATCACACGGGCGTGCCTGCTCGAGCAGAGGCATGGCGGCGGCCAGTCGCCCAGCTTGCACTCGTCTATTGCTGGGAGGCAGGATCTCGGGATCATGTCACAGATGAGTCCGGGCCTCAAAGATTTGGATGCAGAGGCATTCACGGTTGCAGCACATTGAGTGTACATATCACAATACTGGCGCACATCCCTAAGACACCAGAGTTGTAGAAGCAGCACCATCAACGGTGTGTGTAGTGTCTATGACTATTGTGTTAGGTGCCAAGTGGCTGCCTGAACGAAACTTTGACATTGATGCCTTAGCAACATCTCCGTCAGCGTTTCCAGTTCATCAGTCCTGCCTTTTAGAAGTCGCATTCTTATGAAATGCCTTTCATTGAGGCGCCCACGTCAGAGTGCAGTCTCTGAGGCGCTTGTGACATCCACCTTGACATTCTCAGATTACCAGTTGTGTGGTTTAGAGCTAGCACTCTTCATAGATGTAACTACGTGCTAAAATGAGGGCAGACAAAGCCACTGCTATGTCAATACTTTAGGAACCCATCTGGCTGCCATAATAATATGATTAACTGACCTGTGGTGTCACCTCAACCTCCTGGCTCCCAGCAATAAAAATAAAGACCACTAGGCAGAAACAATGTACTACTAAATTATTTGCAATGTCTTGGCACAAGTTCCACGCCAGGATCAGCGACATCATATGCATTGCTTTGAGTAAAAACGCAACCCGAGAAATTGCTGTCTCCCTTGTTTAACAGTAGGCCCGAACTCCCCATCTAGTTTCGCTAAGCCACCGATACTGCAATTTTTATTGTGCGAACTTCAGTCTTTCTGCACGTACAACATTGCTGTGGGCCTGTGCACGCAGTGCGTGAGGCAGCACAACATGTCTTGTTCACCATTTCCTTCCTCCTGAGAACAAAAGCTATGGCAGCGCAATAAATGCACCAAATAAATCGTGAGATTGCTCTAATAGGCCCAGGTATGCTGGATGTAAAAAAAAAACAAAAAACACAAAAGCATCAAGAGCAGTACTGTCGTGCAAAATGTACAGAAAACTGACATGGTGGCACCGATGCCGTTCGCTCTGGAAAGACTTGCCACTGTCAGGTTCATTGAGTCTCCCATTGACTGACACGAGAGCAGGAGACACGCACATGTTTGCATTTCTCTTGGTTGCATCAGTGTTCTGTACTGCCTCAAAATTTTTCTCGCATGTATCTTCCGCGTGAAGCTCACTATACTTTATCACCACACTCAATGTTCATGACTAGCAAACCTGTGTGATGTGAATCCAACGTTCTGTGTACATCTTTGGCATGCTACAACGAAGGCCAATTAAATATTTTTATGGAAATGGGAACTCCCGAACAAAGCAAGCTGAAATGTCTGCTATCGCAACTCGTTGCATATTACAAGATACACCTTCCTCAAGTCCTGCCTGTACTGTTCCTAGGCAACTTCATAATGGCATCACACCATTGGCAGCGTAAAAGGCTCCTGAATAAACATGTGGCATTTCGATTTAAAAGGAAGTCTACATATCCATTTCTTTCATACATCCAATATGTTATCCCAGCTCGATTGCCAGGCAGACTCTACCAACGAGTGCAATCTTGTAAAATGTGCACGACCCACTGTATGGAGCTTCCCAAAACAAGGCTGCTCGATTTTTATGCATGGTGGCGTGGGCATAGAAAAATATGGAGGTGCCCAGAGATTAGCGCAGATTCTGGTCTATTGGGTCAGGCGAACCAGGCCCAATTGCCTCACTCTTGGCAAGCATTATTACTCACCTGAACTGCTGCTCATCTTGCACAACTTTTAAAAGTGCTTTGTCTTCAAGGATCATGTCATCGGTGAGGTCCACATCTGTTTCGAACCCGGCATGATAGACCTTGCGTGAAGGAAAAAAATTAAAAATTGTTATAGGCAGCATTGTCAATGCAGTTAATATATTACGCTTGTATGAGTGGGTCTACGGAACACCCCACAAAACGTGAAACTGATCTGGATTTTATTTAATTTATCAATCCCTTAAATGCCCACAAACGAAATAGAAGAACAAAATAACAAGTAGGTCATAAACCATAAAGGGCAGGAAGTGCTTCCCGGAATTAGGAAATGTCAGATATGGTTACTATTCAGTTTAGGGCAGAAAACTTAAAGGCACTAGTCGGCGAATTTGGGTACGTTGCATAGAATGGCTAGGGAAGGTACCGTTCTGCATGTTTTGGGAAAGGGGAGCCCAAGTTCAGTTCTAGGTGTACTGACACTAGCTGTGAAGTTACCTACACTTGAGGTGAGTAAGTCGTATGGCGCGATTTCGGACTGCATAATACTAATAATAACGGAGGGCATCGATACGTCCCAGCGGAGGACTGAGGATTAATTTAGACAATCTGGAAATCTTGCGAAGCCTTGTGAGTAGTTCGACTGCTCACGCCGCGGAGCCCAGGGTGACCACTCCGACTCCCATAAGCATCGACCGGCGGGCGAACATGCATCATAATGCGTGATACACGTATTGACCTGACAAACAAACTGCAGTGGCACCGTGAATTAGATCCACCATATGTACAAGCGAAGCCGAAGCTACAAGCGGAGGCATGCTGCAGCCTGAAACAGTGCACGCACTGCACGAGCGATCAGAAACACAACAAATATGGGCCTCGCGCTGTAGCTTCGCTCGTACCTAATGTGAAACGAAGTGTAGGCAGGCATCGCCTGCTGCACTTCACGCTGTCTAAACGCTTATGTGATAATTTGCTTCGTAAACATTCATAACATTTCGCGTACAAAGGACAGAAAGAAATATGCGAGATGCTTGTGCTCACCATGATGTGGCTTGGTTCGAGGTCCACTCCTTCGAATACCTGTTTCTGAGCAAGGCATCGAATTAAATCGGGGCGCCGGTGCTCTCCGTCCACAGTGACAACGATCTTGTGTGTGCCGTAAGTCACCAGGCACTGAATCGCACTCATTGTTCGCACTTTGGTGCGACTCGCGCCGTTGACAACGCAAACTGTACACTCTCGTCTCTGCTCCGACCCCTCAAGAAGCGCGGGAAAGCGGGGAACAGACAAAGCAAGGGTTGCGCAAGTGCCAACAACTCGTTACGCATGTGCGCAAGCTCAGCGCGTTTGGATCGGATGGCTCACTGGCTTCACCGTTGACTAGTAGCCGTTGAGCCAAGGAGTTCAGCAAGTAAAGTCGTCGTTATGCATAATCTTACAAAAAAAAAAAAAATTTGCAATAAATAAAAACGGTATATACGGCGGCCTAGGTCCCGCTGGGGGTATCTGCGAATATATGCGGCGTTGAGCGCGTTGAGCCAGCCGCATAAAGCCACTCGCCCACAAAGTCCACAAGAACGTTTTCTAGCTTTTAGAGAAAAAGGCTTAACAAGATAGGTTTTCCTGTTTTGATTTGTAACTTTTGACGGCGGCAAGATTTTTCTTTGATATTTATAGAAATTAAAATCATCACCTAGCCAAATTTGTTGTTGATTTACAAACACGATTTTTTTTTTGTTGCGATTTTTGCGGTACTTTGCGAATAATTTTCTGCCCAACTCTTAAAAAAAAAAAGAAAGTACAAAATTATATTTTCAGCATAATTATGAAAAGTCATTAAAGTCATAGTTTATTCAGAAGATACCGCGCACGAAACTTCGTGTAGTGATGAAACAATGAAGTTTTAAAAAAATAAATAAAAAAATCGGGAAAAGTTTTTAAAAGAAAACATGTGAGAAGGAAAAAAAAGGCTTAGAAATTAGTCTTTTCTTTGGTGCAGTGTCTTACCTTTCGAAGAAGAAAAAAAGCCAGAAAATGTGCTTGAATCCAGTATAATCCAATACCTGCCAACCACGCCCTGGTAAAAGGCATGACGAACTGCTAGTGATATTTGCAAGTTGTTCAGTATATGTGAACAAAAATGGTACTCAGGTACTGTCCCAGGTGCCCATACTTTTCTGAACAATTTACCAGAGTGCTCACTCATATAGGAGTCGTGCATGGCGGTGAGGATAAATTCACAGTTTTGTGTGGAATCAACGGTTGTACAAACAGCTACAACCAGTTTGTATCCTACAAGTCCCATATTTATCGTTGCCACAGGGATGTGCTGCTTAACACTGGAAGTAGCTTCAGCAGTGAGAGAACAAATGATGACCCCCGAGACTTCCCAAGCACTGACGAAAATCGTGCCTATGATGATGTCGACGAACCTGCTTTAAGTCTACAGTCAGAAGCAAGTGCAAGCAGTACCAGATCCCCAAAGAGAAAGCAGTTCGAAGATTTCGTTGCAGAAGCCAAAGCTGCCATCTGGAACTTCTTTTTCAATGTCACTGAAAATCACAAGCTGCCCCACAGCGCAGCCACAAAAATCTTTGGGGACCTACAACTTGTTTTCGAGCACGTCATCAAGGCATTTGCCGATGAAATCGCAGCCAAGATTGATGTGTCCGCCCTGCCTCCTGATGTCATCTCACTCCTGGAATGTTCGTTCCTGCCCAACCTTTTCAAGGGCATCCAGAGTAAGCACTTGCGGGAACAAT